ATATATATATATATATATATATATATATCTTAAGTGTTGATATTTGTAAGAAAGAAAGAATTCGTGACAATTAAAATTTCTATAAATATAAATATCTATCTTATCAGATGATGATTGTATATTTTTAAGCATACATTCTGTGATATTTACATAAATAAATAATGGTTATGACATTTTTTAACATTTAAATATGAAGAGTAGTAGTGATGATAGTATCATTTTATGAATACATTAATTGAGATTATGATATTATTGTATGTATCGTTGAAACAAATTTTATATTTAATTCATATTATATTCAAACATTAGAAGCATGTTGGATGAATGATAATGTCATTTGATTTCAAACCAAGAGGTGGTGGTATTGGTTCATCTCCGATATATCATTTGGGCTTTAATTTTGTCAGCCTTATAAGAGCATCCTATGTCACCTTTGTGATAAAATAGTTAAGTCTACGGCTTTTAACCCATATTTTTTGATGAGTCTCACATTGTTGGGGATGAATAATCTTGAGCTCTTCATCTCTATATAAAGTTTCTCAAGACTCCTCATCCGAGTCAAAGTAATTCGCTGAGTTACCTGAGTTTTAGTAAAAAAGGAAAAACAAAAACAAAAAACAAATCCTGAAAAAAAAAACGGCAAAAAAAAAAAACCGAACCGCAAAATCCGAGCGGTGCGGTTTCTAAACTTCAAAAAACTGAAGTTGCGGTTTTCGATTCGGTTTTGGCCAAAAACTGCATCGAACCACACCATGTTCACCCTTACTCACCGATGGAATTCGAATCTCCTCACTCTATAACTTTTTTGATTTTTTGTTTATGAGAAATTAGGTATGAGACCCGTGTATTATACGAGTTGATTAAAAAAATTATTTATGAAGATTTAAATATTAAATATTTTTTAAGAAAATTTTTTGAAATAAATATAAACAAAATGATGAATAAATAAGTAATTTAATATAAATACTAATAAAAAAATTATTGATATATTATAAAAATTATGTTTAATATCATGGTGTAAACATTAAACTTTTTTAAGAAATAATAAATAATTACTGACGAAGATTAAGGTATGATAAAACGATAATTTTTAACAAATAGTTAAATTAAAAGTAATTCGATACAATAGCGATTTAAATTGTAATAATAAAAGTGATGACAGACTTATAATTCATAAATTTGATGTTGTATATTTGTAAGAGTTTGCAGTTTGTATTTGGTATAATGAATCTGTAAAAGTGAAGTTATTCATTGAATGCTCATCTTACATGATAGTTGAACATGTTTTTGTCTATGATAATCACGACCTAGGAGAATTAAGTACAAGCTTTATTTTATGAATGATAATTTGGGTATTTAATAGAATAAAGGTAGAGTGTTGTTATTGTGTGGATTTTCAAAGTACAATATCTTAATATGGAGAAAGTAAAGTCGAATGTTCTTTTGACCATTTATGTCGATAGTATTGTTAGCCCACTCTTCTCTTCCACTTCGTTTTTGGGATGAAGCTTTCCTTACCGCGTGTTACCTCATAAATCGCATACCGAACCGTACTATACATAATGAAACATCCATCACACATTTACTCAATATAACACAAATTACTCTGTTTCACTTGGTATCAGAGCCTTCCTTGGACTTCGTTTCCCTCTCTTTCTACTCATTAACATCACTGGCCTTCTGGTCTCCTTCTAGATTCGTCATGTCTACCCCAATCACTTCTTCAAAAATTGCTACTGCTATCTCGTGCAAATTGACAAGAACCAACTTCTTACTTTGGAAGGCACAAGTTGTTCCTATTCTCCATGGTGTGCAACTTTTTGTATATCTTGATGGCAATACCATTGTCCTCGCTGCAAAAATCACCACCAGGTGTGGATATCAGGGAAGTCCCAAACCCTGAATACAATGCTTGGTTTGTTCAAGATCAGGCAATCACCGACGACCTTCTGTCTTCTATGGCAGAAGAGGTACTTGCTCAGCTCACTCGATGCACCAATACAGCCAAAGAGTTATGGACTTCACTCCATACCATCTTCTCTGCACAACATAAAGGCAACTCCATCCAATTACGCACACAACTTTCGACTACAAAGAAAGGCGACTTGACTGCATCAGAATACTACCTGAAGATGACAAGCCTCGCAGACACCATGGAAAATATTGGCCATCCCATGCTTGATGAAGAAGTAATCGACTACATCTTAGTCGATCTAGGACCAGGTCATGGTGATCTCTTCACCGCCATCACCGTTCTGAGCAATCAACACATAGTAACTTTACCTTGGTTCTATTCCTATCTAATTGCTCATGAGGCACAATCCAATGCATCCAATAATGTGATAGAATTCACAGCTTCCACCAACCACGCTACACGTCAAGATTCAAACTCCTCCCATCATAATCAAAACAATAACTCCTCTCACAACTACCAACGTAACAGTTATCGTGGTGGAGGCGGTAGTCGCGATCGGGGTCGTGGCCGTTGCAGAAGCAATGTAGGTCCTTGATGTCAAGTGTGTGGCATACCTGGTCAAATTGCGTTAAATTGCAGAAACCAATTCAATCATACATATCAGTCGGAGGAGTACCGTGGGGGAAATAGTGCCATTACAGGAAATTATAATCATGAAACTAACTGGTTCAATAATGCTATCAAGGCAAGGATCAGAATATAACAATGAATGGAATTACTAACCTTTTGTTGTTCTTGGTATCATGATGCATCTTTTGGAGAGCATGATTTTAACATTGAATGTAATTACAAAGTCATATATACATAGATGAAATTGAAAGCTACATTTGGAAATTGTTAGTATGGGATGCTTATGATTTTGTATGATATTTTAGATATACCAAATTACATTATTAAAATAAACAAAATTCAATGATTCATGATGTATTAAAATTAAATCAATATATAGTTAACATCCCATATATTATACTCTAAGACCTTATTTGAAAAAAAATAGCTGTCAATTTTAAATGTACTGAAAAAAAAAATTGTATATTGGATGTAAATATAGAATTAAATTAAGTAACCTTATAATGGAAGGAACTAATTAGAATTCTTATATAATAATATTAATTAGGTGGTATTTTTTTTAAACAATTGAAAAACACAGAATAATGACAAGTGAAAAAATAGAAAATTCTAAAAAATTCTAAAAATGTCATGTGTCCAAATGAAGAAGAGAATGACATATGGAAAAAAGATTTTGATTTATTAGGAAGGATTAAATATTCTTCTATCTATTTTTACTATCCAACTTTCTATCATTTTTAGATAATAACAAGTGTTACATAAGTTTATTAATTTTATTAAATTAAATATAACAACTGTTACAACCTTAAGTGAATAGGAAGATTTACGTTTTAGCATTTATATTGTTTACCATAAGACAAGACTGCAAAAATGATCCATGTGGTATGCATTTTTTTTGAGGTTTAGTCCAAACCTCGATTTTTTTGGCTTCATGGTCCTTTTGAGGTAGTTTGTTTATGGAATTAGTCATAGTTAAACTTGAAAAGGCTAATCCACCCTTTTAATTTTTTTTTTCTATATTCTTAAACATTTTTCCCTTTTATTTAGATTTCTAAAACAAAAAACAAACAAATAGGGGGCCCCACCTCTCTCTCTCTCTCTCATAAGCTACCAAGAACCACGGGAAATGGTGTTTTCCCGCAACCAAAAATGGGCCACAATCCTCCTTCAGTCGATTAACACCACAGCTAAACACCTCCACCTACTACTGTGTTTTCCACTGCTTTAACCCTCCTGATTCTTTTATCCTTTTCTTCTTCGTGAGTTGCCAATAACACACTGCAGGTGTGATGTTTTCTGTTTCCGGTGAGCAACATGAGGCAACAACCTCTCACTCCACTGTCGACCACCGCCGCTGCTTTCACCTTCTTTTCGGTAGCCATCAAATAAAAAGATCGAGCCACGAAGTGCTAGTCGGAGACGCCGACTGCCGCCCCTCCTCGTTGACGCATGCAACACCTACTGCCATTTTTTTTGCTACTCCTTGCTGCTTACCTTCCCCTCGATCTGTGACTGTCGGTGACGAAGCCAAGGAAGCCAAGAGGATCGCCGGAAAAATGGGTTCCTTTTCCCCCTTGACAAATATGCCATCACCGGACCAAGCTCCTCCCTCACTGCCTTCAATTTTCTTCCTTTATGTCTCGATCGAACACCACAGAACTACATCTCCTCCCCCACTTCCATCGATTTCCTTCCTTATCTTTCTAGTTCGTGTGGTGATGTTGTTGTTGTTGTTGTTTCCTTCTTTTTCTGGTCTTTTGGGTGTTGGATGGTTCTACCCCTTTGTTCTTTGTCTCAGATTTTGTTGTTTGACTTTCCTAGATCGTGGCTCCTTCGCTTCCTCGTCCTTCGTCTTGCTTGTTACTGCAACTAAAGTCCCTTCTGTTCTCTTTGGCTCTTTTTGAAGTTTATTGATTTTTCCCTTGGTATGGTTTTGTTTTGTTAGTGGCTGTCTGGTGTTCACTTTCGTTCAGATAATCATCGGTGAAGATGCTCTGGATATCCAATTTGGCATTTGGAATCGATGTCGGGTAGCAATAAATTAGGTGATTTTTTTTTGGGAATAAGTTAAACAGGTGTGGGGCGAAAGCTTAAGAATGGTAGTGAGCAGCAGGTAATAGATATAACATGTATGGTAATGTGTGGTGGCTGCAATGGCTCACGATGACTGTTCAAAGATTATGATGGGTGTTGAAAGTGTTGGGTTTTGAGCACTATAACACTCCTATGGTGCACATGCAATCCTAAATGCTTTGGATCTATGTTTTCTCTAATTATACATGCATATTTTCAATTTTTCCAAAGCATTGTCCTAATTAGCATACAAATTGCCAAATGAATAATACAACTAGTTAGATGACATACCTTGTAGAAGGACTTGTAGTTATTGACCTTTGAAAGCTTTAGCACCTTAAGTGTGATGCCTCTATGTGTTCACAAACACCACTATGCAAGAGGAGGCTTGAGAGAATAGGCTACTAGCACAAAATCAACTTCACCCTCTTGGAAAGTAAGTGGCAACCGATTTTGGCTCTAGGAGGGGCTTATTTATAGTGTTTCACATGCTAGGGTTACACTTTGTAAACCCTAATGACCCATGACTTTCCACATTCTCATGCTCTATGGATTTAACCTCCATGGACTATCCATGGATTAGTTTAGCCCATCTACTAATCATGGATCATTGGCCTACACTACAAGAATCATTGATTTACATAATCAATCTCCATATATTTAATTAGTCTCTTTTGACCACAAAATGAATTCTTGATCAATACTAATTAAATAATATGATTTCATATTAACATATTATACTTGTAATATATTATTAACCATAAATAACCTTATTCTCAAAATCCATCCTATCAAATTGCACTAGTGAAGGCAACCCAAAAAGGACCATGCTACAATCGGGTCAAGTACATCCCAGTTATAGTTATGGGCTTAGACACCAAATCCAACAGTCTCCCACTTGGATAAGTCTAATAACTATAACTGCCAATGCGACTTCAGGATCCGAATTAGCAATCGTAAGCTTTGAAAAGCCGTTGTCGAACTCTGACCTAGTTAGTGACGCGTCCTTCAGATAAGAGATCATATACTCCTCTGTTCTCAAGATATCTATGCGTACAAACACATGGAACATAGTCATACTTATTGTCCTGTAATTTGTTTCCCGATTTACGATTTGTCTGACATAGACCATAACTGAACACATCAATTTAGTTCTGACCGGGCCCGGAACATCATCAAAACAGAATCATCGAGGGGCCCAAGATATCGCTTTTAATCATCTTAGGATAAAAAGGAACATATAAACTTTGACATTATATGCTTGTACTAACTACTCATCAAATCATGCACAATGACACGTTTTATAACATC